AGATGCTATGTGACTTTGTGCAGCGATGCATTTGACTTTGTGCAGCGATGCAGTGATGCATGTGACTTTGTGCAGTGATGCAGTAATGCATGTCACTTTATGCAGTGATGCAGTGATGCAGTAATGCATGTGACTTTTTGACTTTGCGACCACATGGCACATCAATAAGACCGCATGGCAATAGTGTTGATAAACAATTATGTAATGGACTGAAGGAGTAAAGTGTAATTTACCGAATATAAAAAGAAGCAAAAAATGCAAAGATGAGAAAATGGGATGGCTGTGAAGTTCATTAAGTGAAAATAAGATAAAATATAGGTTGTTCATGAATAACATTACTTTAAAAAAAAAGAAAATTTAAGCATTTAATTTCATTTATAATTTGTTGAAAACACCAATTTGTACTAAAATCGTCAATTCTAAGTGACTACTTACTATATTAAAAAAGTAAGCATGAAAAAATAGTTTCATATGGCGATGTGACAACTCACTGCATGTTGTTTTATTTGACAACTCACTGCTCCAATATGAAGGGATTGCATTATCATCCTCTGGCCTACAATTATGATTTTATCTGACAACCACGTCCGTGACTACATCATAGGTACACAAAGTCACGGGTACTCAGGATTGCATGAAATGAAAAGCTAAAAAATAATATCACGGGTATCACTTCTTCCATAGTGCCCCAGCATGCATTATCATCACTAGATCATCTCTAGTTAACCCTCAGTATGATGTCTATAAATAGCGACACCCCCAGTATGATGTTTGTTCAAGTCATAACAATAGTAATATACCTACAATTACTATTATTATTTGTTTGTTTATTTTATGAACAATGTCCTCAAAGAAATCCGAAAGTGTGGCTGCTATCTCCATTTACTTATGACTACAAGAGCGAAAAGTACTCAAGTCCGAAGGATTATTATGCTGGTATCCGAGCAGAATGGGCGTTCAGGGTAACGGAGCAAGAAGGATTGTTTAATGATCTACGTAACTTTGGGGCACCGGTACCTCATCGTCGTTCATTGACCATGGCTAGACGAAATGTGAGTGACTATGAAAAAGCAGTTAGCAAAATTAAGAAGGAGAACAATAGAATGTTGATGCGGAGATGTCGACATTTCATGCTTCAGCTAGCCACCGAAATGGCAGAAGCAAGCAACAGAGATTTGACAGTGATTGAGCGAAATAATGTCTTAAACAATAAAAAATATCTTTCAGACTACTACATGTCAGATGAGGAATGAGAAATCAAACACCTTTATCTTTCATATATGTTTGTATGTTGTCTCATATCTTCGTTACTGGAGTGTAAGACAATGTTGTTGTTCATCTAACGTACGGATGTATTTCAAGTATTTGTTTTATGAACCTGAAGTTTATGAAATAACTACATTTATAACTGCACATTTATTAGTTTATGACTTTCTTTATTGAATTGCAGTGAGTTAATAAATGTTCTAGATTAATGAATGGATTAATGTATGTTGAATTATGTGAATACTTAAAACAAATAAAATAGAACAGGTAGCTCGGTGAAAAGCTTCCCTTAACTGGGGCTCGTGAAATAGGGATCCTGTACGTAAAGAATTTCAATCTCCATCGGGAAAGAAGAAAGAGTCGCCTTCCAATTTCTGGAAGTCCAGTCAAAATAATGACTTTGGTAAGGAATGGGGGGTTGACAGATAACTAAACTTGGGGGGCTGGACAAACAAGCTCAAAGCCAAGTGGTTGGTCCAGTTGGGGGACTAATAAAGTTCATATAAATGAACTACCGCCTTCAACAACATAAAACAAAACAGGTAGCTCAGTGAAAAACTTCCCTTAACTGGGGCTTGTGAAATAGGGATCCTGTATGTAAAGAATTTCAATCTCCATCAGAAAAGAAGAAAAAGTTGCCTTCCAATTCCTGGAAGTCCAGTCAAAATGATGACTCTAGTAAGGAATGAGGGGTTGACAGATAACTAAACTTGGGGGGCTGGACAAACAAGCTCAAAGCCAAGTGGTTGGTCCTGTTGGGGAACTAAATTTAAAACCCAATTGGTTTTACTTGATTTGCTTGTCAAAATCACTATTTACAATTAATTATACACAAACAGATTTACCTCAACACCAATTTGATATATGTGGGATTCTCAATTCAGAAAGTCACATGGCAACAGTGAATTCACTGTTTTACCTTATAGTGAGCATGCCCTTTTTTTGTCCGTATATGCAGATGGATTGTCGAGTCATGTGACTTGGTGCACATGCTTTGGTTTTCTCGATTTTTTGCTCGATTTTTTTATTACAGTGACAACTCATTTGTTATTAATATATGTGGGATTCTCAATTCAGAAAGTCACATGGCAACAGTAAATTTACTGATTTACCTTACAGTGAGCATGCCCTTACTTTGTCTGTATATGCAGATGGATTGTCAAGTCACGTGACTTGGTATACAATATTTCCTTTTCTCTGTTTTTTCATTCTAGTGACAACTCATACCTTGTTCGTATATATGGGATTGTCATGCAGGGCCATCTTTCTAAAGCTGTTTATAACCAACTCTATAAACGACTAAAGGTGAAGACATAACCTTACAACTCATTTCGCCCTACGAAATTATCATTCATTTGTTTTAAAAAATTATTATGGCTACATGGTTCATGGGAGGGAGTGGGAATCGCAGAGGTGGTAGGAACTTGCAAAGGGGTGACAGTTCACGACGAGGAGAGAGAAGGGGAAGTGGCGATGCTGAAGATGAAACACCATTTACTTTGTTAGATGCCTCTTGTGCTTATCATGATAGGTTTGGGAAGTGACATTTTGTCATGCCCAAGTACTATCGAGATCCATGTGGTTTGGTGGAGGAACCATCCGATAATCAAACAGGATATGGTTTAGCAAACGCTAGACTTCTGAAGTGGCCCGCACTATTTATAGAGCGAGTCCAAATGGAAAGATTATGTCAGAAAAATCGATTGAAGTGCCAAAAGCACGTTCTGTTGAGATTCAAAAGGAAGATCCTAATAATGTTGATCGACTATGTGAAAGACTACAACGTGAGATTTCTCAAATGCGCCGTAGGTTAGCCCACGATATGCAACTATACATAGTTAAGAAGGATGCCCAGAAGAAGAAAACAGAACCAAATGATGCGGCTATCAAGGGTATCATGGAGGATCCTGAGCTTGTCTCTGACGCTGAGCTTTCGGATTATTCAGACTCTGAGCCACCTACCGATTTAAGCGTGAATTAGGTGTTAATGTCTACATTTCGGCAATATTAGGTTATGCATTAATATGTAATGTCTGTGTTAGAGTAAGTGTTTCCGTAATGAGTTTGTCAGATTGTCTGGCTAATATTTGTCTATCTAACTGTTATGTTTATCTATGTATTGTGTGTTCAGTTCATGGTGTCCACAATGTATTGTTGTCCGAGACTTATGTCTGTACTACCTATGTATTTTTGTGGGAGACTTATGTGTTTTTCCTCAAGGTTTTATGAATTACATTATCACCTTTTAACCCAAAACAAAGACAACAGAAAAAAAAATTATTTAAATGAAAACGGTTTTAGTAAAGCCAAAACAAATTTCTGAATAACACATTCTAACCCAAAACAAAGACAAGAGAAAAAAATAAAAAATAAAAAATAAAAAACTTTACATGAAAATGGCTTTAGTAAAGAGAAAAGAAATTTATGAATTACATTATCACCTTCTAACCCAAAACAAAGACAACAGAAAAAAAAAAATTATTTAAATGAAAACGGCTTTAGTAAAGCCAAAACAAATTTCTGAATGACACATTCTAACCCAAAACAAAGATAAGAGAAAAAAATATAAAATAAAAAACTTTACATGAAAACAGTTTTAGTAAAGCGAAAAGAAATTTACGAATTACATTATCACCTTCTAACCCAAAACAAAGACAATAGAAAAAAAAAAAATATCTACATGAAAACGGCTTTAGTAAAGCCAAAATAAATTTCTGAATAACACATTCTAACCCAAAACAAAGACAAGAGAAAAAAATAAAAAATAAAAAACTTCACATGAAAACAGTTTTAGTAAAGCAAAAAGAAATTTATGAATTACATTATCACCTTCTAACCCAAAACAAATACAAAAGAAAAAATATATATATTTAAATGAAAACGGCTTTATTAAAGTCCAAACAAATTACTGAATAACACCTTCTAACCCAAAACAAAGAAAAAATAAAATAAAAAAAAAATTTACATCAAAACAACTTTACTAAAGCTCAAAAAATTTATGAATTACATTATTACCTTCTAACCCAAAAACAAACACAAGAAAAAACAAAATAAATTTACTTTAGTCAAGCAAAAAAAAAAATACTGAATTACACATTCTAACCCAAAATAAAGACAAAAGAAAAGAAAAAAAAATTAACATGAGAACGGTTTTAGTAAAACAATTTTAACCCAAAAAATTATTCTGAAATACATTATCACCAAAACAATGACAACAGAAACAAAAAAAAAATCAAAAAAAAATTGCCAAAAAACGTGGTTCAGAATCGCGTTTTCAGAAGAAAAAAAAATTAGGTTAAAAGCGTGGTTCATAACCACGAGTTCAGAAGAAAAAATTTTGGCCAAAAAGCGTGGTTCGAAACAGCGAGTTTAGAAGAAATTTTTTTTCTCATAAAAGCGTGGTTTAAAACAGCGAATTCAAAAGAAAAAAAAATAATTAAAAGCGTCTTTTGTAACCGCGATTTCTTAATCAAAAGTGCGTTTTGTAACCACGATTTTAAGACTTTCCAAATCTCACGCGAGACAGGCGCATATATGTTGAAATTGTGATTGTGAATCATGATTTAATCTATTTTGAAAATTCTTTCAAAACTAAGCTTAATTTAAAAATTAATTTAATATTTTAACTTATTCAGAGAAATGCCCCAAGTTCGGGTTCAAGAGAAGAGAGATAGCCATAAAAAGCAGAGAAAGAAAGAAAAAAGCAAGAAAATAATCAAGGGTAGCTTTGGTTTGAATATTCGGAGCACAGGTGTCGGGCTTTTCAATTTCCAAGCCTCGACTTGGAATCTACCTACGCAGTTGTTGTGCCAACCATGCAATTCGCTGTATCAATGCCCATCTGTGCGTTTATTACATCATGATATGGACCCATTTCACAATCACATCTCTCTCTCTCTCTCTCTCTCTCTATCACCTACTCTATCTAGTCAATTGGTTGTTTAATCCCCAAAATTTTCTCACCTTTTCTTGCCCTTTTCAGTCTTTCTTTCTTCACTCAAATTATACTAAATGGTCTGTCAAAACCCATAATTTTATACCCTTAATCATTGTTTTACAGTAACTCTTTTGCTAGTCTTCTTGATTACATGTTACTCCAAAACCCAACAAAGAGTGAAGCTTCTTGTATTATACCTCAGCCTCCTTCAACTCTGCCTCCACTGTGTACTTTCCTAGGAAACAAACAACCCTCATATAAAGGTAATTAATCTCGGATTTCAATTTCAGTCCTTTTTGCTTCTTTCACAGACTCAAATTTATGTTTGTGTGTTCTCAATTACGTTTTCTACTAATTTAAATTGGTCACTTTCAGAGGTCTAATCTGGTAGTTGGTTATTTATTGCATGTTTGTAGAGATATAGATTCTGTTTCTATCTTTGGTTGAAAAACCCTCTTTAATTTTTGAACAGGGATGGAGGTTAAAAAGCTTCAAAGTTGGGTCTCTCACACCACACGTTCTATGCCTGGTAATTGACTGGTAGGTAGGTTTTTTTGTTTGAGTTTTTGATCGAGTCTTTGATTGTTTGACTAGTACATATATATATATAGTACAGCTTGAAATTTGATTCTCTTAATGGGTTTTTATACTTAACTACCACTAACTTTCATGGATTCTTTCATTTTTTCCCAGCTGTAATCTATGGTGAATTTGAAAATTTGGAACTGAAGAACAGTTGTTGAAAGGTTTTGAACTACTGGGTTCAGTGGGATTCCAGTTATTTTGTGCTGTTTTGCTTCTTTCAGTGCCAATCATTGGGGAATTCAGAATTTCCCAACTGGTTGCAGGGTTTTGGAGTTTTGGGTCCGCTGACTTTGATTGTTTTCTATCATCGGGTGCTTCTACAGATTTGATTTTTGGTAAATCTGAGAATCCGGATTTGAAGTACTGTGAGGAGTTCTTTTTTTTTTTTTTTGCCCCCTCTTTGCTTATGCAGCTTTGCTTCGCAGTGAATTTGAGAATTTGGATGTTGGGAAGTGTCAAATGAACATTTTCTGAATTGTGGTTCTGGTGGGTTTCACTTGTTTGGAAGCTCATCAGATGAAATGGATAGTAATGGGATTGCTCATTCGCCAAAAGTTATAGAAGAGGAGGGTAGTAGTAGCCAAGAGGTGCAGAAGGGTTTTGGCCAGACTTTTCATGTTGATGCATCAGTGGAATTGGAAAACAAGTCTGTGAATGAACAATTCGATGCTGGTATATTCAATGGGACAGAGGAGGAGATGATAAGTGCATTGGTAGTTGGCAGTAAGTCTAAGAATGAACAATTTGATGCTGGTTCTTTTGACGGGGCAGATGCTCAGAAGATAAGTTCTCCTGTGGCGGGAAAAAAGTATTTAGGTGAGCATTCGGATGTAGGTTCTCCTGATGGGGTGGATTATCGAAGGACAAATTCGTTGCAGCAGTCATCGGTCTTAGAGATTTCTCCATCAAAGGATCCGTTTGTTACTCCTCCACGTCAGGCTCAGAAGAGTTAGTACTTGTAACCATTTGTTTGAGTTTGTTTTTTTATTTTTATTTTTATTTTTATCAATTAATCTAGGGATCTAAACTTAACTTTGGCAATAGAAATAGTTGAAATAACATTTGTTTCATATGGAAATTTACCTCTTTTGCACGTTTGGTTAAAGATCTTAATTGTTTGAATGAATGTAGGATTCAATTACAGGGCTTCACAAAAAATATTCATATCTAGAAATCTGTTGCTACACTCAGCAGTTACCTAAATAAGCTATGGTAGGAAGAAGTTATTGTCAGAAATTGCTCATCATGATAATAGGGCCAATAACATTCTGGTTATATGCTTTGTTGTCTACTGCTCTGTCTTCTGTTTTGGTTTAAAATCCTCTTCTGATTATTTTAGGATGTACATTGTATGCTTCCTAAATTTTGAAATGCACTGGCACTAGTTTTAGTGCTAGATCCTTTGGATTCTATGATGCGGTCAATTCCATGAAATGAATCCCATCCCCAATAATAATATAAACTCACTAAAATGTCTATAACTTCAAATCTGATAATCCCCTTGGAAAACTAGTGTAATTGAAACATTTTTGTTGTTGAGACCATCTGGAAAGGGGCTATATTCGCGAACCATTCTGGTAGAGATTTTTCATTAAATGAAATAATTACTGCATTGAGTTTAAAATGGGAGTTGCATCCCCCCAAAAATAAACTGTTCCCTAGCCTATCAAAACCATTGGCGTTGATATGTTAGAAAGGAAGCAATCTCCAATTCTCTGGCACAACTGCTAAGATACTGTTTAATGCCATCTAATAAATCAATACTCTCTAGGTTATTCACCAAGATGGAAGTATCAATTTGTCTATGAATTGGTTGGCTTTGAGTGATGGTCAACTTGTAATTAAATTTGGTTCCCATAATTAATTTCTCAAGGTCTTGATCATTTGTTGATGCTTGCACTACACACTTTATAACAAATTCGGGATTTTGCATGTCTATCACTTTGGGAATTTTCTTATCCACATTTTTACTCCCTACTCACAGGGATGGTGTGTGGCCCACCATCATTATGATTAGGGAGTGAAAAATACGGTGGTTTCCATAGCCGGACTCTATCAATATTGGGTACACTATTCGCCTGATAATATGCATAAGCTGTATCAATGAACTATGGTAATGTTCCAAACTGGGAAGGAGAAGCTACCAAGAAGTACTTGATTCACAAGAACAATCTGTCTTCACTAGGCATTGTATTGGTAAGAGAAGAATGAATTATGGCTGCGCTGTTTGCACAGTTTTGTTTCCTTATCTAAACATTGAAAGTATGATAAATGGGTGAGGACTATTGATATCAAGAAATTGAGCAGGAACTAACATATTCAGATGTTTTTGCATTTCCATATTGCTTATTCTTGTTTATTTTTCCATATTACTATATGGTAAACTAGTTTTCTGCTATGTATTATGCTATATAAAAACAAGAGTCTTTATGATTTCTTTCATATAAAATTCCTCACGATTTGTTGTTCACATTGCCCAACATGTTTTATTTATTATCCCAGAACTTGAAATATTAATGTTTACGTCATTTACTAAAAAAAGTAAAATATTTTCTCAGCAATGTAGTCTCAAAATGGTATTTATGAACAAAATTTTTGTTAAAACCTATCACCTACTTCACCCACTTAAACCTACTCCACTAAACCTAACCCACTACACCACTACCACAATTTTGCATTTTGCTTCGGCCGCGAGCTGACCGGTCAGCTCGACCCCCGTAATAATCAGCGAAGTGACAATCTTGAAAGCATTAACATCACAAACTTCTCTGAACGACACAATTTGGGTTGGATTCGCATATAATAAACTCATAACCTCACTGAAATAAAAAAAGAGCGAATAAAATTATAACTCAAAGGAGTTTTGTCAAACGGGATTGCCAAGAAATAAAACCTAACAATTGTTTAATGCCATCTAATAAATCAATACTCTCTAGGTTATTCACCAAGATGGAAGTATCAATTTGTCTATGAATTGGTTGGCTTTGAGTGATGGTCAACTTGTAATTAAATTTGGTTCCCATAATTAATTTCTCAAGGTCTTGATCATTTGTTGATGCTTGCACTACACACTTTATAACAAATTCGGGATTTTGCATGTCTATCACTTTGGGAATTTTCTTATCCACATTTTTACTCCCTACTCACAGGGATGGTGTGTGGCCCACCATCATTATGATTAGGGAGTGAAAAATACGGTGGTATCCATAGCCGGACTCTATCAATATTGGGTACACTATTCGCCTGATAATATGCATAAGCTGTATCAATGAACTATGGTAATGTTCCAAACTGGGAAGGAGAAGCTACCAAGAAGTACTTGATTCACAAGAACAATCTGTCTTCACTAGGCATTGTATTGGTAAGAGAAGAATGAATTATGGCTGCGCTGTTTGCACACTTTTGTTTCCTTATCTAAACATTGAAAGTATGATAAATGGGTGAGGACTATTGATATCAAGAAATTGAGCAGGAACTAACATATTCAGATGTTTTTGCATTTCCATATTGCTTATTCTTGTTTATTTTTCCATATTACTATATGGTAAACTAGTTTTCTGCTATGTATTATGCTATATAAAAACAAGAGTCTTTATGATTTCTTTCATATAAAATTCCTCACGATTTGTTGTTCACATTGCCCAACATGTTTTATTTATTATCCCAGAACTTGAAATATTAATGTTTACGTCATTTACTAAAAAAAGTAAAATATTTTCTCAGCAATGTAGTCTCAAAATGGTATTTATGAACAAAATTTTGTTTGAGAGTCAGATTTAAATCTGACCATCAGTTTTTAAGGTACGAGTCTTTTTATCTTTGAGCCACTTCTAGATGGTTAGAATTGTTTTCATTTTCTTTTTGCTTGCACAGTTGATTTTATATGTTCATTGATATTGTGTATTATTTTTCTTGAAGGCTTGGACCATTGCATCACTGCACCTGTGGGAACTCGCAAAACTCTCTTTCTTGAAAGCCATGAGGTAGCATTTTCTAGATCCATGACCGATAAGAGGGAGTTCCCAAGGCCTGACCTAAAATTGGATAGATTGTCAGAGCTAGCAAAGGTGAATATCATGACATTGACTGCATGCTTAAATACTCAACTGCTTAGGTATTCTATTTTCACACCACTATTGAAACACACATTAATGTGTACTAATTGGGCGTTGTTGTTTTTTTTATCGAAATAAATTCAACTACAGTGCTTTACAAATGCACAAGCATATGATACTGTTTGTGAAAAAAATTCACTTACTTGACTGAGATGTCTCTTGACAGTAAAATCACAAGACCAGACAATTGCTTGTGGTTCAATGTCCTGTTTCAGGATTTCTTTGGAAATAATAATATGATAAAAACACAAGGAGTGACAAAAGAATAAAAGAAGATTAACAAAAGGATTTTTATTAACCTTTTCAATTACAGTTAGAAGAAAAAGAATGAGGAAAGAAAAAAAAAATGAGAGAATGCACGGCTAATGAGAGCAATAAAAAATTAGGGTTCTGTCCCTTAGTCTCGTATACTTACACTAATATGTTTCTAAGTAGAAAAATATCCTTTAGACTAATGAAATTAGGGTTCTTTTTCTATTTATATCATCAAATGCTAGAGGATCCGAGTCTTGGATATTGAGGTCGGCCACATATCTCATATTCTTATCCTTGTTATATTTTGTTGTCATTGTTACATTGGGAGAAATAGAGGAGCCCATGTTATACTGATCACGACCCAAAAGCTGATGCCTCTCTAGATATGTTGCTTTATCTTTATTGGCTGAATGTAGATTAGTTGGCATGCTTTTATTGTTTGTGAAGTTTTGTAGATTTTGTTCAAGCGATGCTTTCTGTCTTATTGTACCCTTTTATTGTCATATTGATGTCATGTGTACTTGTGTATTATTATATTCGTTTTATTGATTATTTTTGTGTGTGTTTGTTTTCAGAAAAATCTCATTGCGAACCTGGTAAAGATTCAAAATGATGGGACAGTGGAGGTTGATCTAACTAAGAGTGCACCTGTAGCTTCAGAATTGTTACAGCTTCAGTCTATTGAAGGTCTACCTAGTAATATTGATTGCGTCACCGCTGAGCTCAATAAATCTGTTCCAAAATTGAAAATTGCAATAATTGTGGTTGGAACAAGAGGAGATGTTCAGCCTTTTCTGGCTGTGGCAAGGAGACTTCAGGCATGTTTGAAACAAACGTTGTTTTTCCTGGGAGCTTAAAGATTTTTGTTTTTAAGTTCAATTGTCACTATTATCCTTCTCTTACTCGTTTTCCCTTTGGTATTTTATGGATAAAAAGTAATCTAGCTATAGTCAATGCCTTAAAATGTAATATACTTATGTGTGGCCTTCTAAGCTAATGCATATTATGTCACTAAGGAAAATATTAATTTTATCTCTTAATGCATTTAATATGTTCCAAAAAAATTGTTAATTGTTTTGAAGGTATAGTACTCTTAATCCCTTATCTTTTAGGAATTACCCAATGATAGAATTTTTAGGGTTTTTGCTACGGTTTTTGATTTTTTGATTTTAGCTTCTTATTGTGAAAGGGTTGCTCAAATGATTGAATCCAGCTTGGTGATAGTTTCTAAATCTAGTTTGTTTTTTCTTTGTGATTTTATCTGCATTGTTTCGAAACTAATAGGTTGTCAAAATTGAGAAATGATTAACAATAAGAATAAATGTCTTGTTTTTATGTTTTTCCTTTATTAAAAAAATGAATAAAATTTCAGATGCAATAGGGGGGAGCATGTTTCCTTTTTGGTCATTACAGCACGTATTTTTTTTTTAATCTTTCATTTTAAATTTTCCTTGCGTAGAATTATTTCTATTTTTTTTTTTAAAAATTTTTAGTTTAGGGATATGCTTAATTGAGGCTACATTTTGCAGCATTGGAGAATAAATCCTTCTGCCTCTCATGTCTCTTATATGCGAGTATTATTCAAATTTATACATGCCTATGTTGAGGCTTTCTTGAAATTTTCGGAAAATCCCTTAAGTTTGACCTGGCATGAGGGCAAGTGCTTATCTGTTCTAGCGCTGTGGCGCCGGTTCAAGTCATGAGAATCAATCTCTCTGCAAAAAAAAAAAAAAAAAAAACCCCGTGATAAGGCTGCTAAGCGCTACCCCTCTCAGTCCTTGTTCTAAAGTGGGAGCCATGCACACCGGGTACGACCCTTAATTTTAACGTGCTTTTAAAAAAATAAGAATAAAAACTAAAATAAATCTTTCTCAACCAAAAACAATACCATTTTTGGTTCCACTGCTCCTTGTGGAAAAGTACAATTGCAATCCAAATCGTGGCTTCCTCCCAAGTATTTATGATTTTTTTAACATATAGTTTATTTTGGCCTTACTTTGTAACCACACATAATTCATTTCTCTCAAGCCACTCCTTACCTTCTCAACTTCTATTTATTTGTTCCAACTTAACCATCCCATCATTACACAGACCATTTGTAAACTAAAGGAAGATACTAATATGATTTTGGCTATCTATGCAAATCGAATTATAAATACCAGAGATGATACTAATAGTGCTTTAAAATGTTTCTTATGCCATTGAGGTTTAGGGCATGTAATGGCGATGATTATGATATGTAAAAGCAGATTGCCAAATAAGTAACTTGGATTTGATATTTTGGCGACCTCTTGCTTTGCATCTTCATTGCTTTATTTAGTAACCTTCGTGAAAATTTACTTCATTTTATTTTTTTCAAAATAAGGTAACTTCGGTTGTGTCAGTGGTTTGGATTGCTTTTATTCCATGGGCTCCTCAACTGTAATTGTTCCTGCAAATCCCAGATTGTTGTTGTGCATTTTGAATATTTTTAGTTTTCACGTTTTGATTCATTGTGCATGAGTGCATGTAAAAGTTTAGCTGTCCAGCTGCTCTTTTTGGATTGACATTTTCTGCATTTAGTTTTTTGCTGAATCTAAGCACTGTTAGAAAATTGAATTGTAATATATGTCTTGACTGAATTCTTCGTAGTATATTTAATAAAATGGCTTATTTTACAGGTCACTGAGTAATATCAGGTACTTCATGTTAATGCCATCTACCCTCTGCTTCCTGGGGAAGAACAGATCATTATTAGTAGTTTTAGTCGTCACTGTTCTTATTTTATTTATTTATTTGTTTTTATCATTAGTGCTGTTATTTTTTTGTTAAATTGATTCTACGTTTATCTGCAGGAGTTTGGTCATCATGTTAGGTTGGCAACTCATGTTAACTTCTCTACTTTCGTAAAGTCAGCTGGTATAGACTTCTACCCTTTGGGTGGTGATCCTCGGGTTTTGGCAGGATGTAAGATGTCCTTGACTTGATACTTTTTTCCCCCTTCTCTATTTAAAAACAGAATTGATTTTCTTCATATGTGTTAGTTTTCTCAGAAATCACTTTCTAGGCCTCTCCTTTTGTTTTACTTGGATCAATTATTATTGCTTTTCTGTTTGTTTGTCCTGTCATATTTTTGTCATATTGTTGACAGTTTCATAACTGGTGTTAAAATTGGGATAGCATGTGCAATCCCAAGATCTTTATTTTGGACGTACTAAGTTGTGCTTTTTTAATTATTTTATTTTTTCCTTTTCTGGTTCTCCCCTGCAATTATAGATATGGCCAGGAACAAAGGTTTAATTCCATCTGCACCAGGAGAAATATCTATACAGAGAAAGCAACTAAAGGCCATTATCGAATCTCTTTTACCGGCATGCACTGAACCAGATGTAGATACGGGTGAGCCTTTTAGAGCTCAGGCAATTATTGCAAATCCTCCCGCTTATGGTGAGTACCCGACAAATTGAATATGTATTGCTCTTTTATTTTCATCTTCCTTCTTTAAATATTATTTTCTGCCAACTTCTTTATGAAAGAGAAAGTTTTGCTAAACCCTGAGGAGTGGACAAGATTCCCCTCCTAAGAAGGAGATTTTCAGCGGTTACTGGGTGCTTGAAGAAGTGGCAACACCTTGTCACTAAAACAATGCAAAATAAAAATTCAAGCTGTGAAAAGTGTTTGTATAGCTTTGATTTTGTCGAAGTCTAAGAAGCACAGACACGGATATAGAACATGGATAGTACACAATATGGACACACCAACATGGTAATTTTCAAATATTTGGGATATGAACACAACAGAGACATGATGAGAATTAAATACATTTATTTCACAGTTTATGAAGACAATAACAAATTATTCATTTTCCATGTTTATAACTTGTAAAAGAAGTGTGTGCCAAAAGCTATAGTGTGAATTATATATTTATAATAATTCCCAAGTTATGCACTAATAAAATGGAAGTTCTTAGAGTTTAAAATGCTTAAAGGAGGTATTAGTAGGTGCATTTTAAAAACAAAAATATGGAATATGTAAAGAAAAAGATAGGCATAGAATTGGAAAAGAGGAAAGAAAAACCAATACAAAGATTCAGGGTTAAGGTGGTTTCACCTGTCCAAAACTATTGGAACTCATCTGAAAAGTCGATTTGCTAGGATAATGGTAATCCCACAGTTAACTACTTCATTTATGAATTTCATAGTAATAGAAATACTAGCAAAGCACCATATATATGCAATTTTTGAAAACCAAACTTTCTAGTCGAAAAATAAAAAGATTCCACCTCAGCTCACTTGGTTGGAGTATGTCGTCATCAAATTGGAATGCTTCTTTTTGCCATCTTTTTCTTCTTGTTCTTCATTGTCTTTGCTTTCTCTTTGGGTTTCATACATGATTTGTGGGGAGTGTCAACTCATTGAATCAATTTGTCCTTTTTCTTAAACATACATGCAGACTTCAGATGTGTCTCATGTGTATCCACTCTATATACACACATCTCATGTATGTCTGATTTTAGAAAAGCTAAAAAAGGGATGTGTTTGAATGTGTGTCCAGCATGTGTCATCATGATTTCTCCATGTTCGACATATCCAATTCAGACATTGCACTCTAGGAGGTGTGTCCATGTTTCTCAGGTCAACCTATTTCCTCAAGACTGGTTTTGGATGTCCAAATGTAGCTTTTAACAATTATATCATCACCCTCTTGTGAAATCCTGCTAATATAGAAAGCCGCGATAAATACCTGCGTTGCGTGCCCCCAATCTGATGTTGAAGCTTGTTGGTATGAAAATTACATCTCTATGTTTATTACTTGGATGGAAGCATGACTTCAATGGGAACCTGGGTCAATCATTTTTTATTCTTTTTTGAACCAGGGTCACTCTTAAAAATTGGGAAAAGAAAATGTGTCACAAGATAGTACAAAAGTGTAATTTGGGGTTAACATGCATCATGTGAATAACAGTCACCAAGAATGTATAGTCATAAAAATGTCTCAAAAGTCAATACATTATTGTAAACTTGAATTTGGACCTATTTGGTGCATCTTATTAAAGTTGCTTTGTTTTTTTGGAAGTTGTGCCAGAGTGTTAGGTGCAACTTGTAAAAATATATGTATTATTGATTGATATCTTGTTATTTATGTCTTTGCTTTGTTTTTTTGGAAGTTGTGCCAGAGTGTTAGGTGCAACTTTTGCTTTTAGCTTGTGAGGCAGAAATAGCTTAAATAAGTTTAGAAAAACTTATTTGGAAGCTGGGCAATGGGTGTTTTTAGCTTCTGCTTTATGATGATTAACTTTCAATTTAGGAAAAGCTGCATCAAACTCAGGAAGTGAAATGATAAAAGTTTGGAATAAATTGGTCTAAACTTTGCTTTCTCATGTAGCGATTAAAGAACTTTGGAATCAATTAAAGTGATTTTCACGTTGTGGGCTGCCAGTTTGTTAATTGAAGTGTTAGATCATTTTATTTATTCAAAACTTATGTTTATTTTGTTATACAATAAAATGATGGTGGATCGAAACATGATATACAAATATGTTCTATGCTTAAGCATGTACTTTGCCAGGTTGTGGAGCCGAAGAAAAAGGAGGAAGATTTTAATGATACAAGTTAATGGTGTAGAATTATAGTATTAACAGGATAGGTTGTGTATCCAAAGTTTGATAATTTTAAATATAGACTTCCTTTAGCAGTGTTTGTCTGGGCAAGTTTTAAAGAACCTAGGTGGAATGATATTTGTATCGATAGCTTCTTAGTGATCCCTTGATGGAGCTTATGAAATATATTTTGACATCTTATCAGTTATCTCTTTGATGAACAATGTTAGAATGCTAAAGTTGTTGCAAGTGCCATTTCATTATTGGTGAACTTGAAATAATTACTGTCCTGGTTTGCAGGGCATGCACATGTTGCCGAAGCTCTTGCTGTACCCCTTCACATTTTCTTCACAATGCCCTGGACGTGAGTATTAATTGAAAATTCTCATCCATGTTTTACTTCTTTTCCTTAATTTTGTTTTAATCAGAGAACAGCTCCTTACATCCTTTTTCAATAGGCAGGCCAACTTATGAATTTCCCCATCCATTGGCACGCGTACCCCAAAGCGCTGGTTATTGGGTATGTTCTTGTCTGACAATTCGTTCTGTATTTGATTTTCCAATTGGAGAGCTTTTGAATTAAATTTTACCCCAAATTGTTTCCTAATATTTCTTGCTGGTTCCAGCTTTCATATATAGTCGTCGATTTACTGATATGGTGGGGCATAAGGGGATATATCAATGACTTCAGGAAAAGGAATTTGAAACTTGCTCCTATTGCATACTTTAGCTTGTACCGTGGGTCAGTATCTCATTTGCCAACAGCCTATATGTGGAGTCCTCATGTTATGCCAAAGCCAAGTGGTAAGGACAATATTGTCTATATTGAAACAGAGATTATTTGTGTATTGACTATGGGATGTAGATTTATCTGTTTCATTGTCTATTTCTTCACTAATGCCTCAACATACTCTAATGTCATCTAAAGCCTTGGTAATTTCTTATTAGTCATTGGCTCATTGTTGACATAACGGTCTTCTTGCATCATTATGGATGGTTCATCTTACGCTTATTACCCAATGCTTGGTAATTAATCTTTTGATGATTGCAAATAAACCCATTTCTTATCAATTTTACTTCCATCATTTTGGTTTTAATTTGGGTTCAATGGAGGTGGTATTGGGTTGGTTTAAGGGAGCTACTGCTTCTTTTCCATATTTGTGGCTTGTTGTTTTGTTATTGTCAGTTGTTCACTTCATATTCGTGTTGTTTCCCCTACATTGGACTATATGACAGCTGTTTTCATATTAGGCATGACTAGTATGGTTATGCCCTAGAGTCAAGTGGAAGATCCACCACATACATCCAAGTGGGGTCAGTTTTGGAGCATCAACGGTACTGTTTTTTTTTTCCCCCTTCTCAAAAGTAGTGAAATCAATTGTTGTTCCCCAGTTAAGACATAATTATGTGTGGACGGTATATTTCTTATACTCTTTCCTTGAGTTGGCACAAATTTCTTGGATTATGTGATTAGTGTGAGAGTTGCTGGAATGTGTCCCACATCGCCTTTAGTTGTCCCATCTGTGCTAGTTATAAGGTTCCAGTTTTCTTCTGCTTAACAATTGGGTTTTAAGGATAAGTGTGAGCTGGGCTTTTTAATTTGGTATCAGAGTCTAGTTGGGCCTGTGATTGGTGTGCTGTTTGTCCGACTATTGTACGTCCTGGTTCAGGAGGGTGTGTTAGAATGTGTCCCATATCGCCTAGAGTTGCCCTATCTGTGATGATTATAAGACCCCAGTTTCTCTCTCCTTAACACCTGAGTTTTAAGGATAAGTGTGGGCTGGGCTGGGCTTGGCTTTTCAATTAGAGCTTGTCATGGAAAAAAGTTCTTCTTTTAGTTCACAGCATGAATATCATAACTACTGTTTACATCTGAGCTTTTTACTCCACATGAATTCTTGGTTTGGATGTGGAATTGAATCTATGGTTCATATATCAACTACGTTTTTAAAAAATTGATTTCATTTGGCTAACATGCAGATTGGGGCCCCCAAGTCGATGTTGTTGGTTATTGTTTCCTAAACCTTGGGTCAAAATATCAACCTCCTGAGGAGTTTGTTCAATGGATTCAAAAAGGACCTCAACCTATTTATATTGGGTTTGGGAGCATGGTATGGTGATCTTCTCAAAACTATATGAGAAAAATAATTTACATTTGTAACTGTAGCATTTCTGATGGCTACATGCCATTGTATTATTGTTATTATTATTATTATTATTAGGGTTCTTATCCTTCACGTTCTGATTGAGCAAAACAGTTTGAGGCACCCTAATATGTTTTACTTTTCTCTACATTACTTGGACTCCAAGGTATTTTGTCTTAATTAACAATATTTTGACCTCATCAATAGTTTATCATTGCATCAGTTATGTTTAGATTTACCCAACCTTCATCTTCTTGAATTCATGAAACCTCAAATGGGTCTGGCTTTGTATTTTTGATGTTTTATCAGTCCAAACTTGCAAAATTTGCTAAGTGGGGGGCTACATATTGTGATGAAGATTATGGAAAGAAGAAAAAGAGCACATGTGGAATTTCGCATGAAGCACATTTAGGGTATCAAGAATTAAAAATTTAGAATAATTTTGAGTCTTCATGTCATTATAATAGGTTTTAGTAATTAAGGGTGTTAGAATATATAGTGATATATGTTATTTTTTGTGTTGAGTGAGGGTACTATGGTCATATTGTATTCTCGATATTTGCTGATGTTTTAGGTTTATGAAAGAAATCAAGAAACATACGTTTAATAATGTATAGGTCCCGTTTGGTAGAGCTGTGAGAAAGTAATTATAGATTATGACTTAACAAATTATAGATTATAGCTTTAAACATAAGTTGTTAACCTGTTTGGTGTAGCTGTGCGATTACGGATTTAATCAGCCGAGTAGTGTTTGGTTGAATAAGCTATAAAATAGCTTTTTGCTTTGTAATGCCCTTTTTTTTTTTTCTTTTTTTTTTTTTTCTTTTTTGGAATTTCGCATGAAGCACATTTAGGGTATCAAGAATTAAAAATTTAGAATAATTTTGAGTCTTCATGTCATTATAATAGGTTTTAGTAATTAAGGGTGTTAGAATATATAGTGATATATGTTATTTTTTGTGTTGAGTGAGGGTACTATGGTCATATTGTATTCTCGATATTTGCTGATGTTTTAGGTTTATGAAAGAAATCAAGAAACATACGTTTAATAATGTATAGGTCCCGTTTGGTAGAGCTGTGAGAAAATAATTATAGATTATGACTTAACAAATTATAGATTATAGCTTTAAACATAAGTTGTTAACCTGTTTGGTGTAGCTGTGGGATTACGGATTTAATCAGCTGAGTAGTGTTTGGTTGAATAAGCTATAAAATAGCTTTTTGCTCTGTAATGCCCTTAATTTTTTTTTTTTTTTTTTTCTTTTTCTTCATTTTATTTTATTTTATTTTTCTCCTTATTTTCTTTTCTTTTCTCTTCTTCTTCTTCTTCTTCTTTTTTTTTTTCCCTTCTCTTAATTATTTTTTATTCTCTTGTTTCTTTATTTCTTTATTTCTTTTCTTCTCTTATTTTTTTTTCTTTTTCTTCATTTTATTTTATTTTTTGTTCTTCTTACATATTAATTATATTCATGTATTTATATTAATGTTCTGATTTCATTACATATTATTTTTTTATATTCATTTTAGTTTATAAATACATGAATATTTATTATTTCATATTTTTTATTAATATAAAAATCACAAATTTTTTTCATTAAACAATTTTATTTTATTTTCTGTTTCTCTTCTTTCTTTTTTATTTTTCTTCATTTTACAATAATACCAAACCCTAGCCACCGCCGACATCTCTAGGGTTTTGCTCTGTTCAGATCGCGATCGATCAGGATGGGTGTGGTTAGGGTTGTCAATCGCAAGCTACGGTTGATCGTCATCGTGATCGCGATGCTGGAGAGAACACCGTCGATCGTGATGTTAGTTTGGAGCAGTGTTTTAAAAAGCTCTAGGCGCATCGAGGCGCCAAGGTCACTTGAAGCCTAAGCGCCGAGGCGCGAGGCGAGGCGTGCGCCTCACCAAGGTGAGGCGCAAGTTATAGAAGTTAAGCAAAATATCAATACAGCACAATATATAGCACAATTTTCAACATAAGCAAAAATTTATAGAATTCCAAAATAAACAAAACAATACAATATTCAACATTCCAAAAACCATGAAAGTAACATCAAATAACAAACATAAGAACTTAATAATCCACAAAGTTGAAAACAACTAAACATCTACTGACTAGTCCCATGGATGCATTGTCTAAGAACTTAATAATAAGCGTCATCTCCATCATCTCCTTCGTCATCATTGGATTTATATCCCTCCACATCCTCCTCTGCTTCCTCATCTGAAGCTACATCTTTCCATTCCTCTTCCTCATCTACAAGTCGACGTGAGCTTGAACCAATTGGAGTTGTCCTAGTATATATATATATATATATGAATCAAGAAGATAAAAGAGGAAGAGACAGAAGCGAGCGAGCGAGAGAGAGAGAGAGAGAGAGAGAGAGGGATCGCGATTGCGATCGCGAGAGAGAAGGCGACAGAGAGAGAGATCGCGATTGCGATCACGAGAGAGAGAGAGAGCAATCGTGGCCCTTCATCGTTGTCTTCTTCTTCTCCACTAGGGTTTTTTTTTTTATTTTTTTTCTGCTCTTTTGACCCACGTTTTGATCATTTGATATTGTAAATGAAAATTATTCCATGTGGGTATTCACACCAAAACCAGATGGGCTGTAGCAGTAGAAGAAATGCGAAGCGCCAAAAGCGCACGCCTCGAGTCTTACGAAAAAGCGCACGCCTCATCGCCTTAGATGCGCCGCCTCTATGTCGCCTCGCCTCGCTATGCATGATGCGCCGAGTTGCGCCTCATCTTGAGCTTAGGCGCGCGCTTAGGCGTGCTTTTCAAAACACTGGTTTGGAGATTGCAGCGCAATGGCGGTGGTGAGCTCTGGTTCGTCATCGTTCGATCGTTACGCCGTCGATGGTGAACTCTAGTTCGTCACCGTTCGATTGTCACACAGATGTGGTAATGAGCTAGGGCTTTGCCCCTCTAGTTCATGAGAGAAAGAGAGAGCAACTCAAAAAGCTATGTTATAGATCGCGATGGCAACGGGAGGGTTTTGCCCCTTTGGTTAGGGTTTCAGATCACGATAGCGGTGGTGACGGAGAGAGTTTCAGATCGTGAGAGCGAGAGAGAGAGTGAGAGAGATAGAACTAGAAATCACCTCCCTTCTTCAGAAATCGCCTCTCTAGTTCGTGCGAGAGACAGAAATGAGTATGTTTTGGTTTATATACATGGCACATTTGTAATAACTTGAAATTGTGAGGGGCATTTAAGTCATTTTGCCCCTCAAATGGTAGCTGCACGCTTAAGCTATTTCAGAAAACTTCTCTCCCACTCAAAGAAAAAGCTGATTTTTGACTTACAAAAAGTTATAATCTGCATTATTAAGCTGAACCAAACACACAAAAATAGCTTAAATTAAGCTAAAAGCTAAAATAAGCTGAAAATAAGTCCTACCAAACAGGGCCATACAGTCTTCTCCTTCTTCCTTCTCTCCTTTTCTCTTTGGCCCTAATCAAAGTTTTCTATACTTTTACACTTCAACTTGAAATTAGAGCTTTGATTCAACCTTATCAAAGTGTTCTTCAATCACTCGCGATTCCTTTGAGGTGACAACGACGTGTTGACGTCATCTTCCGTACGATGACGTCAGCATGACGTCATAGACTATATAGACAAGGTGACCCCTTCTTGGTTCCTTTCATAAACCTAAAACATTAGCAAATATAGAGAATACAATATGACCATAGTACCCTCACTCAACACAAAAAATAACATATATCACTATATATTCTAACAAAGGGTATAATGGTAATTCCAATAATTGTTGGACATGGGTTGTAGAGGTCGCCCATGGTTTTATTGGTTTTATTATGTCTAAAATAATTTTAGTGGTCAAAAGTCCAAGTTTCCTATTTTGATATTGAAGTAGAATTTGAAGTCATTAAAGTTTCTTATTATGATTGAAGTAGAATTGGAAGTCATACTTGGTCTAGAATATTAGTAATTGCTAAATATTTTTAGTTTCTAAATTTGAATTATAGTCCTTGTAGAATTAGGGGAGTCTTTGGCCTAAAAATATGTGTAACTCAATGATTGACGAGTAGAGTTAATATTATGAAAATTTGAGATTGTGTTTGTGTGATTGGTCTATCCCTTGTGAGGGTGAAGCATCTCTCTCTCTCTCTCTCTCTCTCTAGCAAGGTTACTGTTCACAGTGCCTAGAACAGCCACCCGACAGCTCCTAAACACTTGTGTTGTCATTTCCAAAACCCTACCCTTTTGCAAACCCTTAAACTCCTATTTTTTAAAATACTTTTGCAGTCATAAAATGTCACCAAATCCAGCCCTATAAGTCTATTGTTGCTGCTGCCAGTATACTTAAACTGGGCTCACTACTTGTAGGAAAGTAATCTCTACTCGTCCTACATCATATTGGTTATTCAAATTTGAAGGTGGCTTTAGATTGTTAGGTGTCAGTTATGGGGTCATACAGGTTGCGTTAGTGGTTAAGCTGGTGTTCTGTGCTTCTTCCTTCATGTAATAGGATTTTAATCACTTTGAATCAGCATGTCCTTGATGTGAAATGCTTCATTTAGAATGCTGTTGGTCAGGAAGTCTACCGGTCAAGAAGCTGAAATAAGGGATTTCTAGGAATGTAATTTGTTTGCTGTTGAATTTGTCTCACTCTACAATGAAGCCAAAAAATTAATTTAAAAAAAAAAAAGTAGAACATTGTAAAAAAAATTCAGTATCTCCAATGGAGGGCCCATGTTCGATGAACTTCAAGACTACTTGTATATGTGTCTAGAATTGGGATTCTTGGTAGGATTGACACCAGGCTATTACATTCAAGTAAATATTTTAGAACCACATCAAGAATGCAAGGGTTTAATAGAAAATATGATTATTATATTGGAAAAGTGTAGCTTATAAGGGGGGAAAAGTGTATTTTGAAAAGAGTCATAGGCTTATCGAAAAGAGTAGCAACACTTACAAATTTAAGAAAAATGGATTT